ATCCTCCTCCCCAACCAAATCTGGCAGTGCTATTTTAATATTTTTCAGTGTGGCAAAGAGATAACTGATTTTAGCTCTTTGATTAGAAAATCGAATGAGTGTACCCAAGGAGTGCCCCCTCATTTAAGGCTATACCACCCAGAGCCACTATCATCACACAGAAGAGGCCAGAAAGGGCTCACTTTGAGTCAGGAGCCACTTCCCTTGGTGAAAAAAAAAATGCCATCATGCCAGCACCCCCATCTGAGAGAGCCAGGGGCAGGAGGGGTGGGTGCTGTATGCAGAATACGTTCCAGCCCCGCTCTCTTTCAGGACTTGACAGCCTCTCCTCCAGGCCAAAAGCTGGGTTTGCTCACTGCTGTCCTCTTTTTATATCTGCCGCTAGGTAAATGTGGAAAGAACGTTTTGCTAAGGTCTGGGGCCATCAGGGCTTGGGACCTGTCATAGCACTCCCCAGCCCCAGGGGCAAGTTGCAGAAGAGACAGGCTAGGTGGAAGCCAGGTCCCTCTATCATGCATAGCAAGGCTGCCTAGGGAGTTTCAGGGCACACACGGGAGTGAGGCCGCGGCCCGTCAGAGCTTCTCCAAAGATCAGCCCAGAAACCTCTTCTTCTGCCCCTGGGACTGTGTGGGAGGCAGTACAAGTAGAGGGGGGAAGAGAGAAAATTATGTCATACGGTGCTTTTTAAAAACGTGTAAATTTTTCTGAGAATAAGGCTCCTATCAGGAAGGGGTCTGATGCCCATGGCATGAGGGGCCACACAGCTAATAGAGTCACCGTCACGGCCCAGTCCACGCAGGTATTTGTCCTCTTTTAAACCACCTGGAGTCGGAAGGGTTGTGGCTGCTGAGGGGATGCCTCAGGCCACAGGGCCGTTGAATGCTGGGTGACTTCATCCTTGGGGAGGTAGAGCTCGGGGATCTGGCAGGGGTGGAGGAAACCCAAGGGCACAGGAAGAGTTGTCTTCGTTGACTGAAAAGCACAAATCCAGTGCATGTGCCGCCAAGAGCGATGGGCCTGCTCCCAATTTGCTGGGACAAGTGTGACCCTACAGAGCGAGATGAGCCTCCCGGAGATGGGGTGGAGGAGGGGGCTTGAGATACAAGCAACTCTGGGAGCGAGGAAGCTCCGCGGGGGCTCATCTGAACCCCCTTAGCTCCCCTCACCATGGTCTGAAGAGACAGGACACTGCCATTTGGGGTGTCACAGGCTTGTGACCATGAGCGCAGGGAATGTTGTCTTGACACGATCTGAGGTTCAGAAGAGGCAGACCTACTGAGCAAGGAAGAAACTTGCAGAAGTGATGCCAACAAAACGAGGCAGATTTTAGCGATATGTCCACATTTCTGAGAGCAAAAAGATGAGCCTAATTTTCTCTGGGGCTTTTGGGCACATTTGGCTGGGTTGGCAAAAAAGAAAGGGGATTGTTTCCTGTTTTATCCTATGGCTCCTGGGACAACGCGCTTGTCTCCTACCAGAACTAAATACTGAGAGCTGATCAGTTTTCATCAGTAGTTCCTGGGTGAGAACTGGGCCCAGAGACTTTTCAAAAACCATCACAGGTGTTCTCTCTGGCGTCTCATGACAGGTAAGTCGGGCAGGCTCAGGCCAGCAGCAGTCTAAAAGCAGAGTCCCATTATGGGATGAGGTCACCACTTCTCTTGAGGAACAGAGTGACCCTGCTGCAGGTGGTCCAAAGGGTCTGGGTTTTCAGGACCAAAGTCTTCAGGGCGGAACTCTGTGCACTGAGTGTGTGAATTCCCACCTTGACGCCCGAGGTCAGCCAGCTGCCAGCAGCCCCCAGAAGGGGAGGCACCCTGCTCAGGGAGAGAAGACGTGGGACGGATGATGGCTGAGACCAGCGGAAGAGGGTTTCCTGGCGATTGGAAAGGTGGGGGGCCTGTGAGAGGCTGCTGAGAAGGTAGATGAATGCGCCCATCTCTCATTGTTTCCCTCCCTCCCTCCTGAGCTTCTTCTTCTCTGACTTTTCTTTCTTGGTCTCTTTGCAAAACTGGGTTTCCCTGCTGGTGCTCACGATGCACGAAGCACGTGCTCATCTTCATCCTTAGGAAAGGGGCTGGCATGATGGAGGGGTGGGGAATAACACCTCACCGGAGAAGTGGCCCTACTGCCAGAGTATGGCAGCGAGCCCAGTCCGGCAGAGGCTGAAGGAAAGGTTTTCTGAAATGTCCTATGATCTCATTTGTTCCCAGTGGCTAAGGCCCCAGAAGGCCCTCCCTGAGTTGGAAGTTGTCACCCCAACTTTTGGTGCTCCGGGTCGGTGAACGTCAGCAGTTTTCTCTGTTGCATGTAAACATAAACACACACACCCACATGCACGTGCACAGGCACACACTGAATGGGGAGAAGGAAGGTAGAGGTGGCAAATTAAAGCGACAACTGTTGAAATGAGAAAGGAACAGAAAGGAATTAAGTCCAAGAGAAAGAAGCCAAAGTGGTTGAGGTCCCAGAAAGACACAAGGGGCCAGCATCAATGATTGCTCTAGTGACAGGTGTCCAGGGGCTCCGGGCACACAGAGCCCCAGAGCCAAGGCAGACAAGAGCTGGGATAGCAGGGAGCCCCCCTCAAATGGTCCCACCTCCTCCAGCCTCAGCAGAGTAAGCAACGAGTTCAGCCCTCAGTGGGGTAGCAGAATAAAAAGGCAAAGCACCTCTGACCAGAGTGGAATCCCCACTAACCACTGAGGGGCCTGTGGGCCTGTCCCCTGGATGGGCAGGGATGGGCTCACCTGGCCAGCCTCTACCAAGGCCTGGGTGTGCTCTGTGCTTCCTGGGTGACGGGCACCACACAGGCTCTTTGCACTGATTCTCCGGCTCCCCCTTCCCACCAGGGAAGACCCTAGGGGGCAGCCGGGTCAGGGAGGGGAACACAGCTTAACAGTAAGAAAGGAAATCGAAGGGATCTAAACAAAGAAAGGAGCATTCAGTTTTTTCCAACTGAGCTGAAATTTAAAACTTGTTCTTTTTTTATATATATAGATTTAGATAAATAATGAAGGGGGTGGGAAGGAGCAGCCTCTTTGAATAATACTTTTAAAAAAATATAACCCACAGACATAAAAAGAAAAACAAGAAAACCTCAGTTTGTGAACTTCTCTTAAGAATCGTTCAAATGTGAGGTCTTGCACCCTAAACAGTTATTAAAAAAAAAAAATCACAGCTACACACAACAAAGACTAACAGTATTTACTTAAAAATATTGTGTGTTTTATATATATATATATATATATATATACTTTCTTAAATTTATATATAGATCTTTTTTGTGGCAACATTTTTCTTTTTGTGATTTTTTTTCTTTTCCTTTTTTTTTTTCTTTTTTTTTGCGTGTGCCCAAGTAGAGATACAATGGGATTGAAACGATGCCCTTGAACAGAATATTCCTTGCAGGAGCAATACTTTGAAAAATAACATTTAAAAAATGGTTGAACATCCTGGCAGCATGTCCAGAAATTCAACTTGGTACAATGAACAAATAAATAACTGAATCGAATCCTCACCCAAACGACACAGCCTCTAAGCCCCAGAGTGAGCTGCTGGTGTGGAGTCTCACCCTCTAGTCGGGGCTCGTATTCAAGCACCCTTCCCTCCTCCCCCACCTCCCCCACACACCCTTATCCTCCACCTCAGCCATACCCACAGTCTCATGCCGGTTTTATCGGTTTTCTACATTTCTGGCAAGACCTTGCAGCAGACACACACACACACATATATATACGTGTGCTATGGGCACACACACACACACAGGCGCGCACACACACGTACACACACACACAAAATTTCCCACTCAACCCAGATGCACCAAGTGAGCTGAATGACTTTCAGCCACCCACGATGGTGAAATACAGAAGCACCGGTCTTTGAAATGGGTCAGTTATTACAATTTGATGTTTTTTTTTTATGTATATATATTCCTAATTTTCCTCTTTGTGTTAATATTTTTTAAAAAGCACAAATGAAAAATGAAGAGTTCTTTCCAGGTCAATTTAAGGCTTCCCACCAAATGGAAACAAAAGAGGCCTTACACAGTATCACGTTGAGATAAATCTATACCTTTCACGGCCTTAAAATGACAGAACGAATCATTTTTGCCAGTCACTGATTAAAGATTGTGCCTTTAAATTGATGTCATTCTTTCTGCTACTATGCTGAGTTTTATTATTACTGATTTTCTTTGATGACATATGTGGAAATCTCCTTTGATTTGCTTAGAATTTCCTGTTCTTATAGAATCATTGGGGTGGCTTTTTGTTTGGTTCTGTTTTGCTTTTCACCAGGAAACAAATGAGATTCTTACTCAGTGAATGCTAAAATGGCACATAGTCAGCCTTCAAGTGGCTTTTCCAGCCATTTGAGTTTCAAATGGCCATTTGGCTCTTAGAAGGCTCTGTAAAAGTCAGGGGCAGGGACAGGACAGGAGGAAGAAAAACCAAAATGAAGAAAGGTTTCTATGCCTTGGCTTTTGGTAAATTTGTTTTCTTCAATACAAATAACCACATAGGAAGAATGATTGCTTTGTGTTTTATTTCTTGGTTAGTTTTTGTTTTATTTCTAAATTGGTTTCATTTGATTGTTTAATTTTCCCTCTCCTGGTACAAAAATCACCAGAGAGTTTTGCATGAGAAAACGTGACAGTACTTAATGAAACTCAGCACCTAAGGGCATAAGGCAGTTGAAGGTTTTGTTTGTTTGTCTGTTTGTGTTTGTTTTATTTTCTTTTGTTCTTTCAATCAGCACCAATCCCATAAATGATCTACACGTGGTGTAAGATAGAAAACTTTTTTTTTTTCTTTTGGAGTGGAGTCAGCTCCTCCTTCTCCGCCCTATGAACCATAGTGTGGGATTTGTCAATACTGTTTATGTGTAAAAAACAAAAGAAAGGTTTTCTTTTTGTTTTTACTTACAAAACATAGAGAATATCTTTGTATACATACAGCGACTGGAAAGAAAGCTTATCTGAAGGGATTGTGACTTATTGATTTTTTTTTTTTGTAGCGTTGGTGGTGTTAGTGGTGGTGGTGGTGGTGGTCGTGGATCTGTGTACTGGGGGAAGGGAGGGTTATATTTCTTGCAGGCGGTGTTTACCGCAAACCAAACTTAAGGTCCCCTTCTCAACTTGGGTCAAAATGCTCTCAGAGTGAAGACTCATACTGTAGCAGCTCATAAAGGAGTGGTCCGTCTCGATAGCGAATGCCTACCGCAGTGGGCGTGACATACTGCAGGATGTTAATAGTCCTTCTCAACCTCCTGTCTACAAAATGAGCGTCCCAAGCTGGGTATCTCTTCCTTGGCATGTCAATCTTAATGAGGGGCCCTTCTGGGTGGTAAGGACGCCCCGACGGGGTAGAGGGCCCCATGGGTCTCACTTGGAAAACGGGCAAGCAAGTGTCAGCCGTGAGATCCTCCTGTTGTTCCGTGACGGCTCTGGTAGGCGTGACCTGGGTCCCCCGGTACCCAGGGGTCTGAGGCGCCATGGGCTCAACATCGGGGGGCAAAGGGATGCCCCAGAGCAGCTCGGCACAACAGGAGCTGGCAAAGATCTTAGCTCGTGGCCCCATGGGATGCAGCACACCATAATATAAGAGCATCAGTGCGATCCCAGCCACAAAGCTGATAAAGACACAACACAGTGCTGGCACCGCATAGGAGTCAGTGGTCTCCGGGTTTCTGTAAAAATACCAAAGGAACGTCAAGGCAGCATTCTCAGTCAAGACTATCGTATAATACGCAAACATTCGATATCGAGTCCGCCCTTCCTTGACGTTAAACCAGCAGAAAATGTACACAATCCCTACCACCATGTTGAAGAGGATCTCCTCCCACTTGGACATGCAGAAGTCTGTCCCGCCATGGATGATCCAGAAAGCCATGGCGCACCAGTGGACCACCACGAAGATCCCGAAGTAGAGCTGGAAGATGGAAGCAAAGAGGGCAAAAGAGATAACTCTGGATGAGATGGTGAAGAGGCGCCAGAAGAGGTGGATGAGGGCCCCTCTGTAGCTCATACTCTTCTTGTCATCCCTGGAGTCCCGCAGCAGCTTGTGATAGGAGGCTAGCACCCAAGCCAGGGACATCAGGGAAGTCACAGAGGAGACACCTGCCGGAAAGACACAAACCCACACAGTCAAAACCTGGGACATCAACCACGGGGCACAGCAGGGCTGCCAGCTGAGAAGATGCTCACACACAGCACGATCGAAAGGAAGAGGGAGAGAGAAACACAAAATCAAGAATCAAACTTGGAGGTCACAGCTACCCCCTATGCTGACAGCTTTTACAATCTAATTTTAGTTTTAACAACACTGCCTGGAACTTCCGGAGACCCACGGCTCAAGAGTCAAGCCAGGGCTAACATGCTTTGCCAAGGTGGGTGAGAACGGGGACCACTGTGATGCGTCATTACATCTGCCATGCACAGGGCTGCAGGCATTCCGTGTTAAGGGATCCTGAGCTCCTGGGGATCCTTTTTGCACACTGATGTGTGGCCAGGGTTTGTGTCCCTTCTATGGGCTTCCTGTGGAAGGGATCACCAGTTGGGAAGACCAAAGCTGGCTCACTGCTCCAAGTTCCACAGCTGTTCTCCTCTGAGACAGCACTGGAATCGTGCTTTTGCCTTTCCATCAGCCCCTTAACTGAAATCTTTTCCATTTAGCTTCTCCCCATTTACTCGCTAAGACCACCCTTACCAAGGCTTCTGGGATCGCCTGTCTATTCTGATGGCTGCCTTTCTCCTTCAGTCTTGTCTTTCTTGGCCTCCCCACATTCCCTATTGCTTTCTCCAACCAACCACTGCTCAGAGTTCTCTGAGGCCTTGACTTGAGAGGTCCTTTCCTTTTCTGGTTTCGGTCCTGATTCAGCAGCCCTGGAACCCATGCTTTGGGCTGCCTCTTCCCCTCACCAGCTTGATGAGGTTTCCGAGACCTTTGCAAGTCAGTTCCTGCATTTCTCCTCAATGGGCAAGTGAATGGGTCTGATCCCAAGTGATACTTGAATCACTATAGAGCAGTTTTACTTACAGCTCTTCCCACTTGATATTTGTGACTGAATCAAACTGAACACAATAAGCAGTCATTGGCGTCCACATCTGCCCAAGAGCAACTGATCGTCAGTCAGGTATTATCATTCAGTCCCCTCTCAGGCAAGACTCCCCATCACCCACGGTATTATCTCCTCTCTGTCCATCTACAGCCTCTTTTGCTGTTCCTTTCTCCCTACGTCTCAGAACTAAATGCAACTAAATTCAAGGGGAGTCCTGAATACTGTCCCGTGGGCACCCATATCCTTACTAAAGTCCCACCATCACACCAGAACACAATTCCCCAGTGACATTTTCCAGGCTAAAACCAAAGCCACCTAGTCATTTTCCCTCTTAAACTCAAAGGTTGGACTCAGGAGCCCCATTCATCAGGAGACTAATGAACCACCCCAGACCCGAGCCTTCTGTGTCTTTCCCAGGCCCTGGCACCTCTCCAGTCCTCTCCAAAATCTTCTCCAAACTCCAGCCAAGAATCAGAAACCTCTGCCCTTTCACACCCTCCCTGCATTTGCCTTCCTCGCCCATCCCACAGGATTCCCTCCCTTCCAACATGTACAGAGATGCCAGATTCACAGCTTCCAGAACAATATAGGTGACAACAAACACCAGTATGTGGGCATAAGGATAGAAAAGCCCTGTGACAATGAATTTGTGTTGTTTTTGTAATAATAATAAAAACTGAAATTGAGAATAAAGAGGGGAGAAACACTACCAGTTTCTCCATAGAAGCCGATCTAGAAAATACCTAAAAATTTTCCCTCACTTTTCTGGAAAGCCCTGAACACAATACTTATGTGTCCCACTTTGCCTTTTGCACACAGAGGGCATTTCCACTGGGGCCTGCCAGCCACGCCTGCTCTGCAACCCGGCCGTGTTCAAGGCTGCAGGGCTGGGGCGGGGAGGGGGATGGGTCCTCTTAGGAGTCACATGACTTAGGCTCTATGTTTCTGGAGGGCAGGAAATGTGCACAAAGTGCCAGTTTATTACCAACCCTGAAACATCTCAGAAAGTTCTTGTTAAATGTCTTTGAGACCTCCCCCCTCCCCTGGTGAACTCATTTCTTGATGTTAATAGTGTAAAACTCGGAGGTACCAATGCTGCTTAATAATCATCACGGAGTCCTACAGAAGCTGAATGAGAAGGCTTGATTTTTTTTGTTTCTGCCAATAAATAAAAATGTATTACCTCCCTTTCGCCCAGAAAAACATGAGTGCAGAGCTCATGAAGAAAGAGCGTCAGAGCTTCTGCCGGAGAGTGGTCTAACTCAGTCCAATTCCGAGGGTGCTCTTGGTAGACTTGGGGCACAGAGGCAGGACGGCCCCTTGCTGTCACTGTCCTGAATTCATTGTTCTGTGTGTGTGACGTTAGCCCCACTCATAACAGGAATTCAAATGTCTATCAGTCACCTGTGGCAAAGCCAAATATGGTTCTTCGTTATTGCATCCTCTGGGTCACCTACGCCTTTTCCAGATCTGTCCCTGTGGTTTTGGGGGCTGCTGTTCTGTTCCCACCTCACCCTTCGTGCGGTGCTGCAGTCCACTCTGAGCCCAACTGCACACCATCTTGGTTCATGCTCAGTGCTTCTGGAATTTCTCTCTAGGATATGGCACAAATGTTCCATATTCAAACATTCAAACAGTATGGCACATACTGTCCCGTGGGCACCCATGTCCTTACTAAAGTCCCACCATCACACCAGAGCACAATTCCCCAATGACATTTTCCAGGCTAAAATCAAAGCCACCTAGTCATTTTCCCTCTTAAGCTCAAAGGTTGGACTCAGGAGCCCTATTCATTAGGAGGCCACACACTCAAACATCACCACTAAATTATAGGGAAGTCTTGGGAGACTGAGATCTAAGTACTTGGCCAGGGGCCTACCGGGCACGGACGCCCAGCCCACCTATCCCTCTGCTCCCCCCTTGATGAAGTTATAGACAGACAAATGTTATATCCACGGGGAGCTTTACAGACCATCGTGTCCGCCCACTCACTCGACAGGGAACAGGAGTTGCAGAACTCCTGTTGGGCAAGTTGCAGGACTTGCCCAAGCTTACCCGGGGGCCACTGACAGGCAGAGCTAGCCCTGCAGTGCACCTGTCGGCCTGCCGCTCCGAGCTGGCCCTGCCTCTCTATTCTCTCTCCATCTTGTCCTTTTGTCGGCTCGGCTCTCCAGGCAGCCCCTTTCTCCAAGGTCCTTTGTAATAAAGGCCATCAGCCTTCTTCCATGGCAGGTGCCTGTTCTGGCACCAGGCTGTTGGTCCCTGAGGGTCTTGATGCTGCGCCACATCCCTGGCATTGCAAAATGCTCCAAGTTAAAGGGAAATAGGAAAGGGAAACCTCTGATGCCTGGTCTGTGTGCAGGGTGCTCAGGGCAGAGGCCCTGCCCAAGACCGAGGAGAGTGCATTTGGCCAGGGCCTCCCTTCTCCCTGCAGCCTAAGCATGGCAAGCAGAGACAGGAAGGAATGAGTAGGGGATTGCGCCATCCTGAGCCTGCCCAGCACGGCGCAAATGTCCTGTGACTTGGCCATTTTTAGGTCATTTCCCTGGACAAAGTCCATGGCCTCACAGACCCACAGGGCTGTAAGGGAGCCTGTCCCGGGAGAGCTGTCAGTGGAGGACACTTCGGGTGGGTCAGGCCAGGGAGGGCCTAGGCAGATATGTTCCCCATCAGAGTGCCTGGCTGTCCCAGAGAATGCAGCATGAGTCACTGTGCATGTACACACATTACCCTAAAGATCCCTGCAATACAGGTACTTGTTACAGGGTGAACTATATCCCCCCGACCCAAAAAATTCATAGGCTGAAGCCCTAACCCCCAGGACCTCAGAATGTAACTATTTGGAGACAGGCCTTTAAAGTGGTGATTAAGTTAGAGTGGCCATTAGGGTGGACCTAACCCAATCTGACTGGTGTTCTTATGATAAGAGAAAGTTTGAACACACAGACACCAGCTACACACTTGCACAGAGAACAGACTGTGTGAGGACACAGGGAGAAGGCGGCCGTCTGCACACGGAAGAGAGAGGCCTCAGGAGAAACCAGCCCTGCCGACACCCTGCCCTTGGACTTTCAGCCTCCAGAACGGAGAGAAAGTAAGTCTCCATTGTTTTAACTATACAGTCCGTGGTATTTTGTTACGGCAGCCTCGCAAACTAACACAGTGCTCTGATCCCAATTTTTAGATGAAGAAACGAGATATTTTTTTCAAGAAACAAACATCTATCAAGAAGTGGCACCAGAATTCAAACTCAGAGCCTGGCTCCAGTGGCCTTGAAAGTAGTAATGGATCTCTGTAGTAACGGATCCTCCAGGGATGGCCTTAGAAGAGCCTGGGTGAGGAGGGAGAGAGGAAGTCTAGGCACTTGCGGTGTGAAGGATTTGAACACTTTGCCAAGATAGCACAGAAAGTGCAGTCCCCATGGGTGTCCGCGAGAGGCCCTGGATTATGAAGCTAAAAACCAGCTTTGAATTCTATGCTACCTTCCTCAGCAGAATAACATTTAAGCCACAAAGAAAGAGGTGACCCCAGTAGAATTAACTGAGATCACTTTCCCTTTGTTAAGTGCTCGATCTTCAAAGGCCCGCAGTGTGTTCCATCACCGCGGGACGCGGTGCAGGACTCCCTCCTCTGCGGAGGCTCACGTGGAAGATTTCTGTCTTGCCCGAGGTCAACCCAAAAGTCAATGCATGAATGCTGGCCAAGACCCAAGCGTATGGGAACCAGCTGTGGGAGGGGCCTCAGGGCCCCCAGGGAAATTCTCGGATGGGCTTGGGAGCATTTATGATTCGCTCCAACTTAAGGCTTGATCACTTCCTGCATTCCAGAGATCAGACTGGAACTTGCAAAACACTTCACGTTCAGCTGTGGCAAGTTCCAGGCAGTGACCGTCCCAGCTAGGTCACTTTCCCTGGTGCAGACCAGGAGGTGGAGCTTGTGGCTGGCCCACTGAGCTGACCAGAGTCTGTCCCAGCCAGCTGGGAAGTCCCCAAGCAGGAAGTCACCTGGGGGGCCACTCCCCTGAGAAATGCTTGGGAGAGAGGTCTGCAGGGTCCGATC